CGCCGATCTTTCCATTTTTAGTTTCTAAGCTCATTTCCTTGTAATCGAAGCTCCTTTAAGCTCTATGAAGTTGAGTGTTTGAAGTAATTAAAGGCTTTGCTAAACCCTATAAGCTCAATTTAGTGTCTGCGACTCTAATGTAAAACCAAATGAAATCTCAAGAGCAGTCCATTTGCAGCCTCGAGTTTGATTTTCATGAGCTCTGCCTCTCTTTTTTGTTTTTCTCTTTCTGTAACCATTAGATGATGAGGGTTTTGGATCCATCTTTCTGAACCAGATTATATAGTTACTGACTTTCCCAATTGGGTTTTTGTTGTTGTTGAATGTTTATAAGCTCTTATGGTGAATGTAATGCACTGGGTCGCCTACTCTGTGTTTTGTTGTTGAATGTTTCTTATGAAAATTGGCTATGTTGAATCATAAATGTACAAACTTTCTTGCTTCATAGCCAGTCCATTAGTTACTATATTAGGCATAACATGGTCTTTTGACTCTGTTTAATGAATGACTATGTGCAGGATTAGAAGATGGATCGGTCATATATTTTGATTTTCCTTTAGCTTGCTCAATTATTATAGAAGCTAGTATATTCGCAAACATATAAGACTTTATATATCTCAAATGGATGATGGTGGGCATCGTGAGAATGGTCGGCATAAAGCAGCTCAGGGCCAGGTAACCTTTGACAATGTTTACCCAATTCCAAATCTAAATCGCTTGTTTAAATATGTTTCATCATGCTGTTACTTATGTCAGCTTTGAGATAGCTTTTGATGGGAATGTATTATTTTGTTCATGATCTGAAACAGTGGTTGATGCAGCATCAGCCATCGATGAAACAAGTTATGTCAATAATAGCAGAGCGCGATGCAGCGATTCAGGAGAGAAATCTGGCGATATCAGAGAAAAAAGCAGCAGTAGCTGAACGGGACATGGCGTTTCTCCAGCGCGACACGGCCATCGCTGAGCGTAACAATGCGATTATGGAGAGAGACAATGCTCTTACAGCTCTTCAATACCGTGAGAACTCTATGGCTACTGCTGCTGCTGCCAATATGTTGGCATGTCCACCGGGATGTCAAATATCACGTGGTGTAAAGAA